ATATATATATATATAAGAAAATAAAATTATACAAGAGATCATTTATTTATAGATGAAGCCACCAAGAATTGGCTTCAATCATATCTTTTCATATAATTCATCCTCCAAAAATGTGTTTCGCCATAGAATCACAAACAATTACAGCTTCCGAATTTAAGCTCTAATACAGTAAAGAACAAATAGAAGCAATAATGACTGAATCTCAAAACAATAATTTCTGAATAGCTGTGAATATGAGTAGGCATTCCCTTTTTTTGGTGGGAAAGAAAAGATAATATCAGCCTAGGGGAAAGACTGGCGTTGTAGCAATTAGGCATGCATCCTTTCACTAAGCTTCCTTGCACTTCGCACAATGTTAGCATAGCTAATAACAGAAATTTACAGCCTAGAATGATGGATTAAATCAAGTAAGATCAATGAAACTCAAATAAAATTATTCATGCAAGAGAAAGAGAAAAATAAAATGTGTCAATTTTCTAACTCTTAAAAAAGCTAGAAACAGTTAATGTGACTGTTCTTTAAATAAGGCATTGTATTTTCCCTATGGTCCCATTGAAAATTAAAGGCAATCAAAACATTTTATCCTTAGATAAAAGCCAAGTATCATTTCGATTAAAAAGAAATGGGAACTGGAATAAAATTGGTGATGCCTACGTCCCAAAATTACAAGTTTTAGGTTTAACTATGGTTAAAACTTTATTTTGCTACATAAAGGATAAAGACCATTAAGTTTGCAGCCCAAGTACCAAGTAGATCAAAAATTCAACATTTTATTATAAATGGCCATGTTTTCATAAAGAGAACAAGGGAACATACCAAGTTTGAGAAACAAAACAGACATGACCTCCAACATATGCTCAGTAGGAAAACTGCACTTTTTAAGCATTTTATCAGATACACTGCACATAGATGCAACTGCAGATGCTTCAGGACTACTCTCCACCTCATAGTTATTTGACTGACCAGTGCCCAACATTAAAAGGCTCTGATTTATATGAAAGTTTATCAATTCTTTCAGAATATCAGCTACAAGCTTGGAGGTGTCAGAGTCAGATTCTAAATATCCTGAATGTAACAGCAAAAATAATACATCTTAAGTTTCTGTTTTTCTCAAAAAATAGCAGCATATCATGCAGGTTCAAAACTAATTTACATGCGGAAGAAGCAAATCAAGAAATTTAAGCCTAAAAACAAGAGAGAATAAAAAAGGCCAAACAATACAGAATTTGCATAAAAAGCTTGAAAATATCAACAAAAATATCATCAACCCATGTTAAGCCAAAACGGAGTTTGTAATTATGCACCTATAAGAGAAATGAAGACAGGAGGAAGATATTTTATCCACATGCTTGGAAATGCATCTTCAAATTTACTTAAAAGGATTTTCAGCAGCATTGATGCAGAAACAATAGTATCCACAGGATTCTTTTCAGCTGTGGAGATGTATGATGCAAGGGCTGACATGAAGTCTTCTGCTTTGGGGACAAAAACCTTAACATCTGAGTGCTCCAGCAGTGCCTCGAGAATTCTTAGAATATGTCTAGTTGTCCATGAAAAATGAAAACCAAGCAGTTCATAGGCATCAGACAAAATTTTCATTCTGACTTTATCTGAAATATAAGGGAGCACAGTATTCATAACATTTAGCATGTGGAGAGTTTCCAAATTCTCAGGTTTGGACACAGTGTTGTTCAGAGCAGCGTCTGTAGGTTCAATTGAACAGGTGTTTTTCACCAATGCGATATACTTTCTAAGCATACAATGTACAACTTTGCTAGCCTTTTTGGTAATGGAGGAATTATGGCAATTTTTTAAAAGCACTTCAAGACAGGATTGGGCACATCTCCGAACCTGCAAAGACACAATCCATTCCATATTGCAGAATTATTAATCATTTCACAAGGGAACAAGAATTGGGCCAAAGCCACTAGTTCAACGTAGACAACACAAAACAAATGGTTAGGAGAAAAACATCATGTTAAAAGCATCTTCTTAATTGTGTCATTTCTAACACAATCAATCTAATTATCAGTACTAAATTTATTTCACTTCTTTTTGTGCATAAAATAATAAACTGAATTATTTTACACAAGCAGGTGAAGATACTTATGAAATGCAAAAAAGGGATAGTTGACATTATATAAGATACTATGTAATTTTCTCCTAGACAGCATAAAAGATTGTATTAAAGGTTTTTCACACCTAAGTTTTCTATTATATTGATCATCACTCTTCATAATCTGTCAACAAGAGTATGAATGTGGTTGAATGTGTAAGGGAGGTTGGGGAAGTTTGTATAAGATGTAAAGAGACTATCATCTCCATTCAGATTTAATGCTCTGAAACTAATATTTGACAGCCCAAACCAAACATGTGCAAGTTTCCATTTTCAACATGAGAATCATCAATGTTAATGTCTGATAAGTGATATGAATTACCAGCTAAATTTTAATATGATCATATCGAATAACCATTCGGCCACATCTAAGAGGCATTATAATGTCAATTACCTAAAGAGATTGTGAATAATACTAGTAATAAAATTAGCTGTGCATTGTGCCTTCCTTTCCGACCAGTAAACAATTTTGAAAAATTGTACCTTTGGGCGCTTATCCACTGCAAAAAGTAGCAGAGTCTCAAGAGGCAATTCAATCGAAGGCCAATCTTCCAAATCCACTCTCAGAGCCACCAGACCCAATGACTTGACCATAGACCGCAGGGTACCGGTCGACAGACCGCCAGCTGGATCCCTCAGGAAGGAAGCAATAACGATCGCGGCTTCTTTAGCCTTGGCCTTCGGCAAGGACTCCGTGTGGACTAGAGGGAGCACAACGGCGACAAAAGCAGAGAGAGCAGCAACACCTTCCCGGTCCGCTCGATCGGCGTCGCGAACCGCAGCAATGCCGGCGGCAAAATATGCAGAAGGAATGAGAGGGAGGCCTTCCTCTAAAAGTATAGACTGCATAGCGGCGGCGGTAGCGCAGAGATGGCGGTGCTGCTTTGCGGTGGACCGTGAATAGCGCTCCATAAGCGCACGGCAGACATAGCCGTCGCCGCGGAGTTCGAGG